AATGGATAAGGAAATGGAAGCTACAAGGATTGTAAGGGTTATATAGGGGTAATATTAGGGTAAAATATTGGGGTTATACATTGAGATAATGGAAAATAAAATGGAAACTACTATATCATAATGGATATCTATATGATTCTGTCCCGCAGATGAAACATGTGGACCAAGGCAAGAGTCAGGGTATGAAATTTGTACGGACTGGGCTTCAGGACTGACTTGCCATGCATGACCGTTCAAGGCCTCTGAGAGGCTTCATGGTCGTTTAGGTTGCTTGGCTCCCGACCCATCAGGAACTACATGCTGGTACACATCGCGACGGCTGTGTTGCGAGTGTAATCCATTCTCTGAAGCAGGCCCTAGAATCATAGCTTCCGCTTGTAGACAAAAGGTTATAGTGCCCAGGTTCCTGTTGATCTTGGTCAACCCCAAGACATGGCATGGTCTTGTTGCTACGGCTTTTTGCATGTGATCCTGGAGGCAGATACCAGATCTGCTACATGCAGCTGGAAGAAGGTTGCAAAGCTTTGAGCAACATGACAGAGCGGAAGAAGAACAACGGAACACCAGCGATGAAAATGATAGCTGATAGCAGCACCGTCAGCAAACCAAATATTCAGAATTACAGAAACTGTTCAGGAATTGCTTCCACCGCGCACAGGACAACTCTGCTTTTGCCGCTTCGTCAGGCGCCCAGCCCGAGGCGCCTCTCACCCAGCTGTCTGGACATACCGTCCAAGAATTGCCTGACAAAGGCAGGCGGTTTATGGTTTTTCGTTGAGGGTTGAATGGCAAGTGATAAAGTGATGTTAAAACCGCAAGAGGAAACAGAGGAGCAGCGAAACAACAAAGATCATGGCGACACTCATTGACGATCGTAACAACAATTAAAATGTCGCCTCGCAAATGCTTCAAGGTTGTCCGCCTAACGTCGTCCCCCGAAAGGTTTCCCCAACATGGCCGCAATACACTCACTGTATAAGCCCAGAGAGATCATCAAACGCAGGGGTAGAATGCTAAAACGGGAAAGTCGCAAGAAAACACGCTTTTGAGTGAGTCCTGCAGCAGCAGGCAGCCAGCACAAATTCATGTGTTTCTCAAAACAGGGCACCCCTGGCACAGGGGATATGTGAGGATAACAAATGGAGAAGGCCCTGAGAGTTCTGTAAGAGGCTATGTCATGTACGGAATCTCACACATCCAGCTGCCTCTCCAAATTCTGCTCTCGATCTTGGTGATCGCTTGCATTGGAGGCCTTCCAGAGATTGTATCTGCTGAAGTCAAGTGAGAATCTACTGGCATTCATTCAATGGCACTCTTCACTCTACTCACTCACAACACCACCTTCGCGTCTGCGGCAACATCCACCCACTCTCCTCTGCAGCTGAGTTGGCATGACCACTCTGCATGCGTACCTCGCCTACCCCAGGAGCGGGCGTTGTGAGGCTGACCCATTTTACGGGCTACAGAAAACGTCCATGTCATCTAAAGCCTTCCACTGGAACCCATCAACTCAATCTCTTGAAACCCTGCCCATGTCCTGCCAAGAGCTCTACGGTGGGAGCGTCAGCATTAACTTCAAACTCCTAGCAGAAGCGCTTCAGCAAATTCAAAACATCCAGTAGAATGGCTTGGTACTTCGCCTCCTCCTCGTCCTCCTTGGCTTCGACCCACTCCCCTGCAATCAACTCGAAGACCTGGTCATCGTCCACTCCGGCCTCCTTAGAAAACATCTAGAAGAACCAGATTGACACTAGACTCTGCTGGTGCCACGGCCGAGTCTAAAGACTTGAATCATTCTTACCTTACTCCCACCAACCCTTCTTCTGCGAATGCACTCTTTGCAGAGTTTGGGAGGCCTTATACTCGCTCGAAGAAAAGCGAAGTCATTTTGAGAGGTCAGCAAACCGCCCGTGTAATCGCAGTCGCCCACTGCAACCGGGCCACCAGAGCTTTTGCAGCTTCGACGAACTTCTGCCCCCCCATCAGACGAAGGAATTTCGTCCGCTCCTGTGAGATTCAATTTATGTTGGTCGTATGCTTTGGGACCATAGACGGATGCATAAGGAAAATCAAAAGACTATGGTGGGGCTGTAGGAGATACGTAGCACTACTCCCTGGCAGCAAAGCAACAGGGCCCATGAACCTTGCAGCCTATGACCCTCTAGCCCCGAGTAAGCCACTAGATACCAACATAACGTGCAACTCCTAAGGTCGTCTGTCAAAGACCTCCTAAAGTCCTAAACGCCCATTGAAATCATTAGAAGAGCAGCTGGTAAAGGTCAGCGCAGATGACCCAAAGCCCTAAACCCTCAATCTTAGCAAGAACAACATACATGCCATGCTTTGTAAATTGATATGTAATGCTGTGGTATGTTTACTGTTGGGGGTATGGGGTTGCTCCAGGTAAGCATTTAAAGCCCGCGAACCCAATTTTGTGGAACCCGCCATGTGGAACGCTCCTTGCTGTTGTGAAACTGGCTGCTCTCCCAACCGTTTGCTGTGAGCCTGGCCATTTCTTGATATGTGTTAGGAGGACCCCCCACCCTGTAATAGTGGTATAATAGGAATATAAGAGGACCCTAGTATAGTTACTACTATCCCTTATAGTCACTATTACAGGGTGGGGGGGTCCTCCTAGGATACGTGGAAAAACCTAAACCCTAAACCCTGAATAGTAGCTTCCATGTTCTTTTCCATTATTCCTGCATAACCCCTGTATAATCCCTATAAGGGGTTTAAGCGTTTTGGGTTGGGGGGTTTAGTAGGGTGTCAAAGGGTTGAGGGGGGTCAGGGAGGCTCAAGGCATTTGAGGTGGGTGCAGGGAGATAGGGTTTAGGGCTTAGGGTTGATGGTTTAGGGTTTAGGGTTGGGGGGGTTTAGGGGGCTTGTGGGGGTTGAGGTTGTTCAGAGCGTTTCAGGTTCAGGTGCCTAGGGTTTAAGATTTCTCTCTGGGTGTCCCTTGTCATGAGGATCCTGCTGTGTGGGGGTAGCTAAGGAACACAGGTTTTTGGAGAAATATCTACAGTGGTATGCCCACAAAAGCACAAATTCTAGATCCTAAATGAACACATGCATCACGAGTATGGAAACAGATGATCCATTTCGAACATCCTCAGCCTTTCGTTCTTGGTGTTTAGGGAGACTGCAGGGAACCTCTGGGGCACTCTCCGGGACATTCCCCTAAGGGTCCAAGTACCCAATAATCATTTACTTTCCGAAGCCTGTACTACAATCCCTATTACCCAAATCCCAAGTACCTAATTATTGGGTACATGGACCCTCTGGGTTCTGCGCTTGGGCACTGCAGAAAAGGAGACTTTGGGGTTGGGCGCGGCAAGGGAACTTCGAGGCTGTGCGGTTGTAAATAAAGGGTTTAGGGTTTAGGGTTTAGGGGGTTGGGTTTAGGGTTTAGGGGGTTGGGCAATGCAGATTTGGGACACTGCGGATATACCATTCAGGTTGCACACTGCTGGGATACTGTACGGTCGGGCACGGCAAGGATGGTCTGGCGGTTGGGCACTGCCAGGATATTCTGTTCTTGGGCATTGCAGGGATACTCTGCGCTTGGGCACGCCATGGGTGCCCTGGGGTTGGATACTCTGCGGGTGGGCACTGCACGAAGGGCGACGAGAACATTGACTTCTCAAGCCAAGTCTCACAACCCCACTGTGAGGTTGGGAATCACTCTACGCAGCGCATGTTAGCTGCTACGTGATTTCTATGTGTATACATATATATATATGTGAATACATAGGGTTTCCAAGAATTAAGTTTTGGCATCGTTTATCATAAGAATTCCACTATTTGTGAGTATGCCCGCGGGACCCTTGTTCCTGTAATGCCCACATGCCAGGAGCAGGACACATTTGTCCCAACAAACACACAGGATGTTCATCAACAGACAGACAACAACTCCAGAATTTGAGAATAGCACATGCTTCAAGGACGCTTGCAAGTGGATAGTTCTCAGGTGGGTACTTAAAGGAGGCATAAATGCAGGTACCCACCCGGATATAGCTAAACCCTATAACCTTATCACCCTAAACCCTAGAACCCTATGTATAACCTATGTCCAACACAACAGGTACACCCACGATACTGGGTTGCTGTTAAGGAACTTAAATTAAGTTACTATATTGGGGAAACCCTATTATTTACTATACATACCCATTATGGTAATTTATTTTGAGTTCCTTAACAGCAACCCACGATACTCGGCTCAACCTGCCAAAGCAGCAGCGGCCTGCCATCTTTTTGATCTGAAGCATCTGGCGTGCTCCACAGCGCCTGTGGAGCTCGGATCCCCACTGCTTAGGGTTTAGGGTTTAGGGGTTTAGGGTTTAGGGTTCTGGGTTTAGGGTTTAGGGGTGTCTCAATGAGGGGGTGCGCTGGTGCT